ATGGTGGGAAACCAAGTAATGTTGCTGCTCGTCGACTCAGGAAGCACACACAGGTTCATCTCCCAGGCGTTTGTGGAACGCATCAAGGCCACGAGCACGCCCTTGCCGCCCGTGGAGGTACGCATCGCCAACGGAGAGCGCCTGGTGTGCGACAGCATGATCCCGGCTGTCCAGTGGTGGTGTCAAGGGCACACCTTCTCCAAGGACATGCGGCAACTGGCGCTAGGCGCCTACGACGGCGTGTTGGGCATGGACTGGCTGGAGCAGAACAGCCCGATGAACTGTCACTGGCTGGAGAAGACCATCTCATTCGCGCACTAGGGCGAGACCATGAAGCTGCAAGGTGTTCGACCAAAGGGCACGACCACAAACATCGACTACATCGAGCCAGACCAGTTCGTGAAGTGGCACGCTGAGAATGACATCTGGTACATGGCGGTCGTGGACTGGAGCGCGCCAGTCAGGGACCTGGACAAACCTTCCCCGCCAGCCATTCAAGCAGTGCTCGACGACTTCGCCGATGTGTTTGGCGACCCCAAGAAGCTGCCACCTCACCGGCAGTATGACCACGCGGTCACCTTGGTGGACGGCGCGCCCCCGGCGAACGGGCGCCCGTACCGGTACTCTCCACTGCAAAAAGACGAGATCGAGCGCCAAGTAGAAGAAATGCTCCAGTCCGCCATCATCACCCACAGCGTGAGCCCCTTCGCGGCGCCCGTACTGCTTGTCAAGAAGAAGGACGGAACCTGGCGTTTCTGCGTCGACTACAGGCGGCTCAACGACATCACCATCAAGAATCGATTTCCCCTTCCAATTCTGGACGAGCTGCTCGATGAACTCGCCGGCGCAGCCTTCTTCTCCAAACTCGACCTCCGCGCCGGCTACCACCAGATTCGCATGCGCGAGGAGGACGAGCACAAGACGGCGTTTAAGACCCATCATGGGCACTTCCAGTTCCGTGTCATGCCGTTCGGCCTGACAAATGCGCCGACAACATTCCAGTGCCTGATGAATGCCATCTTCGGCAAGCATGCGCGCAAATTCGTCATCATCTTCTTGGACGACATCTTGGTCTTCAGCGGCACTCTGGAAGAGCACGTCGAACACCTGCGGTAAGTGTTCGAGCTTCTCTGTCAAAACGAGCTGTTCGTCAAGGCCTCGAAATGCTCCTTCGCGCAAGATAGCATCGAGTACTTGGGTCACATTATTTCCAAGGAGGGCGCGGCCACGGATGCGGACAAGACGCAGGCGATGCTGCAGTGGCCTACGCTGACGACGGCCACGGAACTCCGCGGGTTCCTCGGCCTCACAGCCTACTACAGGAAGTTCGTCGCACGCTATGGCATAATTGCCAAGCCATTCACCCAATTGCTGACCAAGAAGGGCTTCGAGTGGTCGGAACAGGCGCAGACCACGTTCGACCTGCTGAAGCGCGCCATGGCAAGTACACCAGTTCTCGCTCTGCCCGACTTCGACAAGCCGTTTGTCATCGAGACTGACGCGCGCGACACCGGCATCGGCGCGGTACTGGTCCAGGATGGCCACCCCATGGCGTATTTCAGCAAGGCGTTGGGCGTCCGCAACCAGAAGCTCTCAGCTTACGAGAAGGAATTTTTGGCCGTCATGATGGCCGTGGAGAAATGGCGTGCTTACTTGCAGCGTGGGCCATTCACCATTCTTACTGATCACAAGAGTCTGTCCAACTTGGGCGATCAACAATTGGAGACAGACTTGCAGCGAAAGGCAATGTCCAAACTGGTGGGGCTGCAGTTCACATTCCAGTACAGGCGCGGGGCGGAAAACGGCGCGGCAGACGCTCTGTCCAGAGTGGGTGCTGCTCTGAGCGTGGCGGCTCTCTCGTTCTGCCAACCAGCTTGGGTGCAAGAGGTCGCCAACTCGTACGCGACGGATACTACAGCACAAGAGATGTTGTCGCGCCTCGCCATTCGCAGCCCGGACGAAGAAGGATTTGAACTGCACAAGGGACTGATTCGTCGCGGCGACCGGCTCTGGATCGGCAGCAACACCGCGCTCCGCACCAAGCTCATCAGCGCATTCCACGACAGTGCGGTGGGTGGCCACTCGGGCATTACCGCCACTCACCAGCGCGTCAAGAAGATGTTCTGCTGGCCGGGGCAGAAGCGCGACGTGGACGAGTACGTCAAGCAGTGTCTGGTGTGCCAGCAGGCCAAGCACGAGCATTGTCGGCCGGCGGGTCGCCTGGCACCCCTGCCTGTGCCCACCGCCCCGTGGCAGGAGCTCACGATGGATTTCGTCGAAGGACTGCCGTCGTCGGAGGGGTATGACTCCATCATGGTGGTCGTGGATCGCCTCACCAAGTTCGCGCACTTCATTCCCCTTCGTCACCCCTTCAATGCCACCAAGGTGGCGCGGGCGTTCTGGGACAACGTCGTCAAGCTCCACGGCGTGCCCAACTCGATCGTCTCGGATCGCGATCGTGTCTTCACCAGCGCGCTCTGGCGGGAACTGTTCGCGGCCGCGGGCACCAAGGTGTTGTACTCGACGGCGTACCACCCCCAGACGGACGGGCAGAGCGAGCGGGTCAACCAATGCATGGGGATGTACCTGCGATGTGCGATCCACGACGACCCACGCCACTGGCGGCGGTGGCTTCCGACCGCCGAGTTCTGGTACAACTCTTCCTTCCACGCGTCCATCAACTGTACCCCGTTCAAAGATCTCTACGGCACCGAGCCCAACCTCGGCGCCACGGCACTCTGGGACAACAAGACGGCGCCGGTCCTCGACAACGAGCAGTGGGACTGGGGCGCGCACACCGCGCGCCTCCGCGAGCAGCTGCTTCGAGCTCAACACCGTTTCAAGAAGAAAGCCGATCGTCACCGCACCGAACGAAGCTTCCAGGTCGGCGAGGAGGTGCTGCTCAAGTTACAGCCGTACGCCCAGTCCTCCGTCGTCAATCGCCCCTGCGCCAAGCTCGCCTACAAGTTCTACGGGCCCTTCAAGGTGGACGCCAAGATAGGAGCGCTCGCCTACCGACTGGTTCTTCCGCCCGACAGCCGCATCCACAACGTCTTCCATGTCTCCCAGCTCAAGCCCTTTACTCCCAGTTATACTCCTGTCTTCGCCGAGCTGCCCAAGCCACCGGACCTGTCCATGGACGAGACAGCGCCCGTGGAGATTTTGGACAGGCGCATGGTCAAGCGCGCCAACTCCGCCCTGGTACAGCTGCGAGTCCGCTGGTCTTCGTCCTCTCCTTCGGCCACTACATGGGAGGATTATGACACCCTGAAGCTTCGCTTTCCTACGACGACGATCTGGCAAGGAGCGGCCGGAGCGCCAGGTGACGCTCCTTCTGAAGGAGGGGAAAATGTCACACCCGCACCTACTAGTGCCAGGGTGGACTGCATCGACGAATAGAGAAGCGAGGGACAAGTCATCGATCGGCCAGGTCACCAGTGGGCCAGGGAGAGAGAGCCAGTATATGTAGCTGCCCCTGCGTGGGCGAGAGGGGGTGTGATGTGTGATTTCGTTCTCCCTTGTACTCTGAACCTTCCTCCTCTGCAAGTAAAGCTCCCCTCTGCTCTGGTTGATTCCTCATCCCCCTTTCCTTCTCTCCCTCGAGTGCGATCTGAGACCCTCGGGTCGTCACAACTAAATCTAGACGTTCAGCTCGAGCTTTTGGGCTCGGCTCGCGCTCGCTGCAACTCGGCCCGAGCTAGGCTCGGCCCGACAAGTAAACAGGCCGAGCCGAGCTGTGCTTTTGGGATTGTTTCTACCTCAAGCCGAGCCTGACTCGGCTCGGTCCAACTCGCGAGCTAAACGCTTCGCAGCCCAGCGAAGCCCAGATGAACAACACGCACCCCAATTGAGCCCATCTAGCCCAGCGAAATGACTACAGAGAGACAGACGGGGGAATCAATCGCTAGGGTTGCTCACTTGCTCGTCGCCGCCGCACTCCGCCTGCCTGGGCGTCGTTGACAGCATGCCACCGCTCCCCTCTGCTCCTCCCTTCCCTCCTCTCCTTCCTCCCCAAGCCCCTGCGTTGGCGCGAGCTTTGCATCCCGGCCTCCAGCGCGGCTGCGTACACGCAGACGAACCACCAGGCTGAGGCCACGCTCGCCGGCGTTCTCTTCCTGCTCGCCGCCGCGGCCGTGGTAGTTGACGACTTGCTCGCTCCCCTCGTCCTGCTGGCAAGTTCCTCACGCCCCGCGGCCGCCGGAAACGGAGATGACCACCTCAAGCTCCCGTGGCCGTCCTGCTGGCAAGTTCCTCACGCCCCTGCAGCACCATCCCGACGCCCGCATGCTGCCGGGTGCCATCCTCCACTGCCGTTCCCGGGCGCTCCAGATGGTGGCCCTACGTGGCAGCGACCAGTTGTTGTTAGGCTTGCCGAGCCTCCCGAGCTGCACCGAGCAAGAGGCAAGCTCGGGCCGAGCCCCAATCTCTAGCTCGTCTGACCACTGGGCTCGGTTCGGCTCGGCTCGAGAAGAGGCGAGCTAAGGCAGGCTCGGGGCGAGCCCGGCTCGGCTCGGCTCGCGTCCAGGTATAGTCACAACGCACCGGGATGTTGATGCCTCACACGCTGGAGCAAGTGATCATTGGACCAGATCCCCAAGGAAGAAGCCTATTCTCATCTCACCAACTATTTATTCAGAAGTCTATTCTCTGTATTCTTCCTCCTTCCTCACCCCAACTCTCCTTTGTGTCCATCCAGATTTGTATCTCCAGTTGCGACTCTAAACTTGAGTGAAATTCATCCTGTGATATCGGGAATTAGGAGAAGTGATTGCTGCATGGAATCGGGTTCATAATATACGAGCTCGTCTTCATCAACCGGCAGTGCTTCTCAAAATTACTAGCCATTCACCGACCGGCCTTCACAGTATGTTAACCAGTACTTCATCCTAATGTCTCTAGCATGCAGATATTACTAGTGTATCTAGTAGTAGTCGATGATTGCATATATGATCTCTGTGTATTGTAACCTCGATCATTTGTGTGCAGGAGGATTATTGGGTATGGCTGGAATTTGGATGGACAAGGCGACAGAGGACCGAATGAATCTATGGCTGACCCGGGTCTTGGTCATTGTGAGCTTCACAGCGCATCTTACCCTGGCCCTACTAGCCGGGATCCGCCGGCGTAGGCACTCCGGCGTGCGGAGGTCTTTGGTGTGGTTGGCCTACTACGTGACCGAGATAGGCACACCAATCGCCCTTACCAAGGTGTTCATCGACACCGCGTCTGTGGATACCGAGCAACAGCTCAAGGCGTTGGTCGCATACAGAGAGCAGCAGATGTTTGCGTTCTGGGCGCCGTTTCTGCTGCTCCACCTTGGTCGCCCGGACAACATCACCAGCTACGCCTTGGAGAACAAGGGGCTGTCGCCTACCCAGAAGGCCGTTCTCATCCTTGCAATCGTAGGAGCCATCTGTGGCTCATACAAGCAAAGATTTATGCGCGGGGATGGGGCTCTGCGCGCCGCATTCTTCATCATGCTCTTCTTGGGTTCCTATAAGTATGTGGAGAGGGCAGTTGCGCTACGGCGAGCTTCCTTCGACAGCATTCGCCGCTCAAACCGGAGGAAGATGTTGAAGCAGTTCAGTTCTAAGGGCAAAGCCCGAAAGCAGGATAATGATAACGCCCTGCTTGATGCTCACGGCCTTCTGGGCGTCACCATGGGTGCCTTCGCTGACTATCAAGTCGACTGCAGGAGGTATGTCCCATCTTATTCTGGTTGCAAGGATGTGAGCAAGGTGGTTGAGATGGAGGTGTCACTCATGTACGACGTGTTATACACCAAGGCAAGCGTGATACACCAGGAGGCTACATCATCCGTCTGGTCTCGCCGCCACCGCCACGGCGCTCTATCTCTTCCACAGTAAAGACGGCCAGGCGATGGAGAGTGCAGATCGGGCGATCACATACACCTTGCTTGCTGGTACCTTGTTGTTGGATGTGAGATGGCTGCTCAGAGCACTAGGGTCCACCTAGACCTATGCATTCTTGCTTGATAGTACAGATCAGGAGGATGGAAGCAAACAAGGGCTGCTTCTGGGTCGCCTCCGCTGGAACCTCCTGGCCAGTTTGCTGCGGCTGGGCCGCCTCAAGAAGGCAGGTCGTCGTCGGTCTGTGAGGCATTCATGGTATTGGCTCCGTCGCCTCCTGGTCTCTCTGGATCCGTCCCGGCTCCCACTGAGAAGCGGCCCAAGTGGCCACAGGTTGTTGCCGGGCTCGGCAGTCGGACAGCACAACTTGTTGCAAGAGTGCAGTGCTCAGGGTGGACTGGAGAAGATGATCTCTTATTTTTGCGCTGGACACGGGAAGAAGAAGATTGATGTCAAGGATGTCTTGTTGGAAGTTATGTGTACATATCTAGTGCTGGAATTGGAGACAATGGCTTGGATGCGTCCCACGGGGGAAGTTGATGATTACATGAGGACTAATAGCAAGAAATTAAATTTCCAAAAGGACATCATTGCGCTGCACGTCGCCACGGACATTTTCCTCTTGTGCAGGACAAAGTCCCAAAGGAGAGAAAGTAGAGCATCAGCCAAAGACGAGAAGAAGATCCGAGCGCTGTCAAATTACATGATGTTCCTCCTCGCGCAACGCCAGCACATGGTATTGCCACCAGGTGACGAGGCCGGCGACTACAAAAAGGCCTGCCTCGATTTGAAGGAAATATGGCGTGAAAGAGGAGGAGCCAGCGGTTCTCTAACAACCCCAAGAGAGACCGAGCTTGCCAACATCCTTCTGAAGATGAATGCAACCGAGGGCAGTAGGTACAACACCTACGGCGAATCAAGTCTCCTTTCCGAGAGAAACGAAACTCTTGCGCTTGGTGCTGGCTGGGCCTTGAAGCTGTTACATCAGCTGGACCCGGCAGCAGATTACGGACGGCATCAGACGCGGGTCCAAGACATTCACAAACTTGAAGACTTTATTCCGGCATTCACTGATGAGACACAAACCGTAATTGAACGGTACAGGGACCGCGGGGAACGATGGGAACTCCTCGATTATATGTTGCAGCTCATTCTCGTTTCATGGGTACGTCTTCTCAGCTTCACGTCCGGCCAATGCAGCAGGGATTCCCATGCCAAGCAGCTCAGCCGCGGCGGTGAGCTCTTAACCATCGTCTGGATGATGAGTCGACACAAGAATATATATATTCCAAGCCAATAAAATGACCAGCATCGTATATCCTCTCTGCTCACTATTAAATTTTTCGGCAGTATTATTATTGTCCTGGTGTAGAAGTAGGACTCCTGCAGATATATCCGAATCTGCTAATGTAGTTGTCAGGCCTATTCTAAATTGAAATTTCCGTTATCTATTATCCCTCTTATTACTGGAATCGTACCGTGAGCTTATGTCTTTGTCTGGCTTGCTGGCCATATCGTCTTGTGTTCCTGAGCAGTCATTTACCTTCGGACACGGTGACATTGTCTTTTGTCAAATCTTTCGCCTGACCAAAAAAATACTTAGGATTTCGCCTGGCCATACTTAGGATTTCTTATTGTACTGATTGAACTTGACAAATTCTTGCTCTACATAAGCAAAGGAAAAGAACTAGGCCTGTCCATACTGGATTTTACCATAGTTCTAGTTCTAAAAAAGACTGTCAATTTGTAATTCTTCACATCTTCACCGTGTGATGAACCTTTTGTTTCTTTTATTCTTACTTTTCCATCGGGTCACTCTAGATTTTCTTTTTACCTTCTTCCCGTCACGAAGCTCTGTTCTCTTCCCATTTTGTCCATATTTTCCATCAGAGCTGTTCCTGTCTGTTGTGTGGTGCTCAACTCAAGCAAGTATAGGAGTGGAAGTTTCAGAGCTGTTCATGTCTGTTTAGTTTTTTTAGTGCTAAACTCTTTGCAGTAACTGCTGAACTATTTCTCTGTATGTGTAGCCATGCCATGGTACTAATCTTACAATCTTTATCTGTGTTTGCACAGCTATAAACATGTGTTGGCCTACTTTTAACTGTTACCTGCTGGTACAATTAGAGCCTGCAAGATGCAAGTTCCCATAACCAGTTGGTAAAAGCACTTGAGTTGGCTCATTCTTGAATAGAGGACCTCCTATTTGACGCTTATTGCGTTAAATTGGAGGGCAAACACATAGGCATGCGAGTGGGCTGGCCCATTTAGACGTGTCCAGCTATTCCTTCTTAACTGGGTGGCGGGAGTTCTTTAGCGTTTTTCTTGGTCCGCTCAGTTTTTCTTGGTTCGCTCAGTTTTTTGGTCTCTCATTTTTTTTTACAAGTTCATGAAATAAACAGCTGATTTAAAAAAAATCTTAATGAACATTTTTAGTTACATAAACATGTTTTAAATGTAAATATTTTTAAAAACTTGAGAACAAGGTGGATATTTTCTGAATAAAAGTGGGCATCTTAAAAAACAAGTGCGAATATTTTAGAAAAAATGCGAATATTTTTTTATAAAAAATTGTGATTTTTTTAAGTATGAACATTGTTTTAGAGTATGAATACTTTTTAAAGGGGACATTTTTTTTCAAAAGACACAATAATATTTTTTTAAGGTGAAAGTTTCTCAAGAAAAGGTGATCATTTTTGAAAATTTGGAAACATTTGTAAAGAAAATAAAATCATTAGAAAGAAATAAGAATGGTGGTTCCAAAGAGTTGAATTTGGTTTGATCCCTAAGCATGAATAGCCCTAAGTGTCTCCGTAGTATTGGAAGAAAATCTTTGAAGGTACCAAAACTCAAAGAAAGTCATATGAAGATTGTCTAAAGAGGGAATTTTGGATAAGTTTGGCTTCAGATCAGTTGTTGGAGTTCAGGTCAAAGTATTTGCTAGTGCCCGCCCTGTTCATAGCATGGTCGACCAGCATCATCGTCGGCGGCGCCGGGCCACTTCCTCTGCCCCATTCTTCAGGAAATCATGGAGGACCCATGCGTCGCCGCCGATGGGTACACCTACGACCGGAAGGCGATCGAGACATGGGTGAGCATGAAGGACAAGTCGCCGATGACCAACCTCCGGCTGCCGAGCAAGAGCCTCATCCCCAACCACTCGCTCCGGTCGGCCATCATGGACTGGAGCTCCAAGAACAGACGATGATGCACACAATGTTAGATAGACAGACCTTGTGCAGAAATAGTCTTTGGAAATATAGCTTTTGTGTTGCGTTGTGTAGGTACACCGAAATGTGTACGTGATTCCTCAGGAAAATATCAAATGTGAATAAACAAAAATTCACGCTTATCATTTACTTTTCTTTACATTAAAATTAAAAATCCAGTAGGGAAACCTACTATTATTCTCCTAAAAAACATTTATTTTCCTGAGGTGTACCGTTTTGCAGACTTGTTGAGAATTACTACAAGATATTTCAGCTATATATATCGAGATGTGCATGTGATTCCTCACCATTTGGGTGCCGGCTTCTGTACATACTGTGCAGAAAAAGAAGAGGCCGTACTGGCCATTGTGGAATAACACCAGGTCCATTCATAAATGAAAGCCGGCAACACGCTACATTTTCAGCTTTCAGCTTCAACCAACAACATTATTGTTTCAGGGTCATTCACAGAGCAAGAGCGAAAGATAATTCAACCAAGTTTACGTACTTCAGGTTTTCAATGTCTTGACAAATGCCAGCATCACAGAAGCTTAGAGGATTTTCGAAGCATTTCAGTATAAGAAACAATCTTTCTGGATCCAGCATCTAAGAGATGGTTCATAGCTTACCGAAGTTTCGTAATCATCTTCGAGTTTGCTGCTCATTCAAGGCCACAATAACAAGACCTCTTCAACCTTTGACTGAAACAAAGAAATTGGATCAGGTCCTTTTCTACATTTTGTTCTCTCCCCTTGTCTTGTGTCGCTTGTGCTTTTGATTACACAGGCTGGTGCCTGGATGGCTGCAGTATTGTATCCTATGCAATTTGACTCTAGCGGCCTGCAAGCTAATGTTATAACTGATCACTAATTAAGTGAGCAGTTAAACCATATGACAAACAAGCTGTCCAAATGATGTTTATCATGGACTGGAGGTCCAAGAACAGATGATGATGCACACAATGTTAGACCTTGTGCAGAAGTAGAATATAGACTTTGTGTTGTGTTGTGCAGCCATATTGAAAATGCGAATGTGGATCCTCAAAAGAAAATCAAAATGTAAATAACAAAAAATGCTCCTATCATTTGTTTTTTATACATTAAAATGAAAAATATCCACTAGGGAAACCTCCTGTTCTCCTAAAAAACATTTGTTTTCTTGAGGTGTACGGTTTTGCAGACATGTTGAGAATTATCGGATATTTCAGTTATATAAATCAGGATGTTCATATGATCACTCACCATTGATTGCTAGCCTTTGTACATGTTGTGCAGAAAAAGGAAGAGGCCATACTGGCCATGTGGAGTACAATTCTGGCGTTATGAAAGCCGGCAGCACGCTGCATTTTCAAATTTCAGCTTCGACCAACAGCATTATTGTTTCAGGGTCATTTTCACAGAGCTAGGTAGAAACGCTATTGAAAGATACCCGGCAAAACTTAGTTTACAAACTCCGTTACATGATATAATTCAGCCAAGTTTACCTACTTCAGGTTTTCAGTGTCTTGACAAATTCCAGCATCACACAAGCTTACGAGAATTTCCAAAGCGTTTCGGTATAAGAAAAAATCTTTCTGGGTCAAGCTTCTAACAGATAGTCCATACCCTTACCGAACTGTCGTAATCATCTTCGACTCCACACCTCTCTCAAGGCCACATGAAGACCTCTTCTCCTTTGACGGAAACACTGAAACTGGATCAGTTAATTCTCTACATTTTGTTCTCCCCTTGTCTTGCATAATCCAACTAATTTGGTTACACAAGCTAATGCCTGGACGGCTGCAGTATTGTATTCTACGCTGTTTGATTGGACGGCCTGCAAGCTGATGTTATTACTTATTAGAGGGTGTTTGTTTCCAGGGACTTATTGGTCTAGGGACTTAAATAAGTCCCTATAAGTCCCATCTAAACCAAACAGGAGGGACTTATAGGGACTTAAAGTGGGCATTTGGGACTTATGAAATAAGACTCTCAAGGAGCGACTTATAGGGACTTATAGTTGTAATATGGTCTTATAGAGACTTATAAGTCCCAGGAACCAAACAGGTAGGGACTTTTTAGGGACTTGAGACTTATAAGTTGGGACTAAAAAAAGTCCTAGGACTTATGAACCAAACAGGACCTTAAACTCTAATGAGAAAGCAGTCAGACCATATAAGCTGGGCAAGTTTTCCAAATGATACTTATCACTAGGAAGCTCCTGCAGAGGGCGAGCTGAATCACCTTTAGGTTAGCCAGAGCCATGATCATCCTCTTACTACTCATTCTTGGCTTCAAGCCATTGGTCACCGCCGCCGATCCATTGGTGTGGCGCTGCGACTCCCATTTCGTCAACAAAGCCTACAAAGCTAACATTAAGCTCCTATCTGCTGCACTATCTATGAGTATCTCATCCACACAAACTATCTTTGCCAAGGGCTTCACCGGAACCAAACAAGACCGCGTTTATGGCACCGTGCAGTGCCGCGGCGATGTCAGCGCATCTGCCTGCCCCAGCTGCATCACCACAGCATTCCGCAACATTGGGTGGCCGTGCATACTCGAAACGGTCACAGCTGTCTTATATGAGGACTGCATCGTCCACATCTCCCAGGAAGACCTTATCTACGACTCCAGTGATATGCTAAAAAGGTTACTGGTCTTCACGAACACAACGGAACGCACTGTGAGTCCCAGCATTCACTTGGAAGCGAGTCTTATGTACAACAGCTCCCGGATTGATGGCAACATCAAGGTGCTGCTCCAAGAGACAGCCAAACAGGCAGCCTACAACTCCACAATGATGTATGCCACCGGCCGCCTGGATGTCTTCAGCGCACTCCCGCTGCTCTACTCTCTGGCGCAGTGCAACCTGGACCTACCACCGAATGATTGCTGGGATTGCCTCAAGAATATCAGCAGCGCGGCAAAGAGTTTCTTCAAAGAGCAACATGGTGAATGGATTTCTGGTACGTGGTGCAATTTCAGGTACAGCACGAATCAGTTCTATGAGGGCCAGCCCATGCAGTAGATCGACTGGTCGGATGATGTGGATCCAACAACAAACATGCCGGCACGCATGCCAGCGCCAGGGCCGGTTGGTGTTCCCAGGCAGAAAGACGAGGATAAGCCGGTGCCAGCGCCAGGGCCGGTTGGTGTTCCCAGGCAGAAAGACGAGGATAAGCCGGTGGTTGTCGTGCCCAGACAGAAACACAAGAGTAAGCAAGACAATATGATAATTTCTTTCGCCAAAATTAGGTGGTCTTACCTTTTTGTTGTTCTAAAGTGAATATTCACCACCTCGTTATATCTGTTCTATTTCTATTCATATAATTCCTATCAACATCTTTATTACACTAAAATTGAACAGTTCAGCATCCTTATAGTGCCAAGTGCCTATCAGACTCAAGCATCGAGTGAAATGAAATTATGGAACTTATACAAGATCGTACTAGTTGCCAAAACTTTCACAGTGTGTGAATGACTTTGATTCTACAACTATTGCTGAAATAAAAGAAAAGGTCCAGTTGATGAGTAGGTTAGTGTAGGAAGAGTAAGCAGGGCTTTATACATATGAGTTATGGGTACCACCTTCTGATATAGATCTAGTGACCACAAACCAATTTTGATCATTTTGGAAGACATAATTAATTCATCTGGGTGCCTGATACACATTGATCAACACGTCAATTTAACAACCTTGCATGCGATGCAACCTTAGATTATATATCATATGTTGAAATATTCCTTGCATAAAGAAAAGGGTCCACTTTTCAACCATAAACTAGTGAAAAAGTTCAAATTTCAATCTTGAACTGCAAAACCAGTTGTTTCCAACCTTAAACTGTTGAATCCATTTAATAACCCCATTAGCCCTATTCCAAGTGGTTTTGAGCTGACTCAGAAGACACAGGCCATACGCGTCAGTAAATTGTCATCTTGGTAGGCTGAGTAAGGAATAAAAATAAAAGGGAAACTTAAATAAATTGCATAATACCCCCCCCCCCCCTTCCGAATTATAAGATGTTCTAACTTTTTCTGAATCGGATGTTTGTAGACACATTTCAGTGTGTTTGTTCACTCATTGCAGCCCATATGTAGCTAGTCCATATATTGAAATATCCGAAGTGTTTATAATTCAGAACAGAGGTGATACTTTGGAAAATTATTTGTGTTACTAGATGTCCCGTCCATTTTATTTTCCCTGATTTTTCTGTATTTTCCTGAAGTTTCCAAAATATATCCTATTTTTATTTATTTTCATCAATTTGATTTTATTCTTTACTTAAGCTGTTAACATAGCAAGGTGCTGCCATGTATAAACTGATGCTATATGTCTACCACGTGCCATCCAAGTGAATGGATTCAATCATTCAAGGTCAAAAACAACTGGTTTCAGATTTTAAAGTTGAAAAGTAAACTTTTGCAATGTTACATTAATTTCATTATATTATATGTTCAAATATTCCTCGAAACGTAAACACCAAAGTTTATTGTGCAATCATATTTTGAATGGACTAATCAACTAAGCACCTCCGTTTGTGTGAAATCTTCCATTTTAGGGCATATAATAAAGGTTTTGGTCATTACAACTGTTGTGCTTCTATTAGCATCCTTTTTCTCCTTCGTCGCTTGGTTTGGACTGGTCAAAAGGCACATAAAAGGTTAGTTGCGGAAATGCTACTACTGTACTCACAAATCTCTTAGGCTGTGGATCTAAGAAAAAATCTCTTAGGCTGTTTAGATTCATATATGTTCTGCATCAGAATTTCCTGAAAGGGTTACACAATCTCTGAATTTTGAATTTACGTAAAGTGAGCCCACAGGAAGGTGAAGAACTAGTCTGGGGAACTGGGAGGAGTTCAGAGTTCAAGCTTTTTGACTTCACACAAGTATCAGATGCTACAAGTAATTTCTCAGATGAAAATAAATTGGGGCAAGGTGGCTTTGGCCCAGTATACAAGGTAAATGAACACATTTATGTAGGTACACAAAGAGAACAAAATGAAACCTAGTTTGCATCAAGAGCTAAATTTGTACGATCTCATAGATTTCGTACATGCGCTTTAAGTTTACGCACAAGCATGGGGATCCGAAGATAAGTACAGAAACTTTTATTTCGCAAGATGATATCACTAATTAAGCTCTTTTAAACCTCCACAGGGCCAGCTTCCGAAAGGTTTGGAGATAGCAATTAAGAGACTTGCTTCAAACTCTGGCCAAGGTTTCACTGAGTTCAAAAATGAAGTCCAACTCATAGCCAAGCTCCAGCACACAAATTTGGTTAGGCTGTTGGGATGTTGCTCGCAAGGAGAGGAGAAAATATTGATCTATGAATATTTGCCAAATAAAAGCTTGGACTCCTTTATCTTTGGTAATTGGTATTACTTCTTGTAGTTTGCAGTTACAGATTATGGGTTACCCCCCCCCCCCTCTAATATACATATATCATTAACTCATGTGCAGATGAAACTAAAAGGGTTTTATTAAAATGGAATAAAAGAAAATTGATTATTGAAGGGATAGCACAAGGACTTCTATATTTGCATAAACACTCTCGGTTACGTGTCATACATAGGGATCTTAAAGCAAGCAACATTCTTTTGGACAGTGAAATGAATCCTAAAATATCAGATTTTGGGCTTGCAAAAATATTCAGCTCAAATGATACTGAAGGAAACACAAAAAGGATTGCTGGGACATAGTAAGCTCTTCCTTAAGTCCATACTACTAAAGGTTAACCAAATACCAGATAGAAGTATAATTTTCTGTGTATCTTCACAGTGGGTATATGGCTCCCGAGTATGCTTCAGAGGGTCTCTTCTCGATCAAGTCTGATGTATTCAGCTTTGGTGTGTTAATTCTTGAGATCATCCATGGAAAAAGGAACTCGTGTTTCCATCAATTTGGGGACTTCTTCAACCTTCTTGGATATGTAAGTATTTTCTATACTCAATGTGCAAAATTACTTATGTTCATCTAATGATCTTTGTGTAATACGTGTGTAAACTCCTGCAAGGCATGGAAGTTGTGGAAAGAGGAAAGATGGCTTGAGTTTGTCGATGAATCAATAGTTTCAGAGTCACATGCATCAGAGATAATGAGGTGTATCAACATCGCATTGCTGTGTGTACAAGAGAATGCAGCTGACAGACCCACCACGACAAGCATGGTTACAATGCTAAGCAGCGAAAGTATGACCCTGCCTGAACCTAAGCATCCAGCGTATTTCCACATAATGGTAACAGAGGAAGAGCCACCTAGTGCTAATGATGTGACGATGTCTGCTCTACAGGGCAGATAGGGCAGATGGTACCATTCTGCATGATGTGTTTTTGTAATGTCGCTTTGCTGAGGGGGCTGCTTCTGTTGTAACACTAAATTTCTGACATAAACACACGCATATCTTTGGTTAAGCGTGTCATGAATTGCGAAGTGCAGTACAGTCTACTCCTGTTCAAACAGCAAAAGATGGTTAATTAGCATGCATAGTGTAATGCTGAATCGTACGCGGACGCCTCGGTTGCTAATTAGTCGTCAGCTTCGTATTCCTGAACAATGAATTGTGAAGCAGAGTGCTTCCTGTTTCCTTTTTTTTTTGTGTAGAAATGGTAATGGCTAGCTACAAACAAACGGGCGATGCACAGTAGGTTCAGATTATTCATGCAACCACAGAAGAGTTTGTACTGAACTGCAATCTCATAATCATAATGGCTGTAGGATCAAAGAGCTATTTGTACCGAATATTTTTGACAGGTATTTGTGCTGAATCTGTTCAACGCACTAGTCCCAACAATAAAAAGTCCCCGAAGCTAACCTCGCTTGACGACTCGAGTAAGCGGAATCGCGTACGGGCACCTTCGGAAGAGGGGGCGGGGAAGACGCGAGGCGAGATGCCTCGCCGCCGCCTCGATCTCGGCACGGCGTCAGAATCCCGGGGCCGCCACCAGATCCATAGCGGGGCAGCCGCCGGAGGTTGCCGCGGCGGCGCGACACTGGTCGCAGCGCTCGCGCACGCTGCCGCTGGGGTGGAGCGAGCGAGGGGGAGAGAGAGAGAGCGCCCGCTGAGCTGGGATGGGATGGACGGCGGACGGGCGGGTGCCGCGCGCCGGCCTGCCTACGAAAACGAAAGTCTGAACTGCACTTTGCACCATGAGAAAAAAGATAAGCTGAGCAAATGCTTCCTCCATTCCTAAATCTATGTCTTTCTAGGGATTTCAACATAGACTATATATGGGTGTATATAAACGTCTTTTATAGCGTAGATTCACTCATTTTGCTCCGTACATAGTCTATATTGGAATTTCTAAAAAGACTTATATTTAGGAACGGAGAGGATACATGTGAAAAATTGTAAGATTAGTAGCATGGCATGGCTACACATAAAGAGAAATAGTTCGGTTCAGCAGTTACTGCATAGAGTATTAGTACTAAAAAAACTAAATAGACATGAACAGCTCTGAAACATCCACTCCAATACTTGCTTGAGTTGAGCACCACACAACAGACAGGAACAGCTCTGATGGAAAGTATGGACAAAATGGGAAGAGAACAGAGCTTCGTGACGGGAAGAAGGTAAAAAGAAAATCTAGAGTGACCCGATGGAAAAGTAAGAATAAAAGAAACAAAAGGTTCATCACACGGTGAAGATGTGAAGAATTACAAATTGACAGTCTTTTTTAGAACTAGAACTATGGTAAAATCCAGTATGGACAGGCCTAGTTCTTTTCCTTTGCTTATGTAGAGCAAGAATTTGTCAAGTTCAATCAGTACAATAAGAAATCCTAAGTATGGCCAGGCGAAATCCTAAGTATTTTTTTGGTCAGGCGAAAGATTTGACAAAAGACAATGTCACCGTGTCCGAAGGTAAATGACTGCTCAGGAACACAAGACGATATGGCCAGCAAGCCAGACAAAGACATAAGCTCACGGTACGATTCCAGTAATAAGAGGGATAATAGATAACGGAAATTTCAATTTAGAATAGGCCTGACAACTACATTAGCAGATTCGGATATATCTGCAGGAGTC